AACAGAGAAATGGTCCTTTTGTGTCTATCTGCAACCTAATGTTTGAAAGTTAAAGAGTGCAGAGTCAAATCCTGTGTGATCCCACTGAGAGGACATCTCTAGAGGGGTCACAGCCACAGAGGCAGAGAAGGGTGGTGCTGCCAGCTGGGGGAGGGGAGGGGAGCCACTGCTGGATGGGGCCAGAGCTCCAGTTTGGGAAGATGAGAACGTTCTGGAGATGATGGTGGGGACGGCGGCACAGCCACGTGAATGCGCTTCATGCCACAGAAACGCACTGCTAAAATCCTGCGACTTGGGGAGTCTCCAGTTCAAGCTGGCATCCTCATCCCAGTGAGAAGACTGGCAGCCCCCTCCTCACTCTCAGATGGGCCCAGGGTCAGACCCCAAGCCCCTTGGCTGCCCACCCTGCAAGGGAGGTTTCCTGCGAGAACCGCTGCCTGGCTGTATTCCATCCTTTCTGACCCTAACTGGACAGAGGGCTCCTTCCCCCGGGCCGCACCTCCAGGGGTCTTCCGGGCAGCCTTTCCGTGCGTGTTCCTACGTAAGTCTTCAGTGCTCTGACACCTGCCACCTGGATCCCCCTGGGAAGGTCTCGCCTCCGCTCCATGTTCCAGCACCCCAGAAGTGGGGATCTCAGACTCCACTCCTTCCTTCCTGCTGAGGGACAGCCCCTGCCCTCCGCAGTCCCTGTTTGGAGCCGTCTGTTAGGGCGTCCGCCCTAGGGCTCTGAGGCACAGGATGGCTGTGCTGGCACATATCCAGGCGTGCGTTTCAGGGTGCCTGACATGGCCACCTTTGGTTCCCCCAGGGTTCCAGCTCTGTGCCTGGCCCAGGGGGGAAATCAATGCCGATGAAGCTAAGAGGCATCTGGTAGGAGCAGCTTTGTCCTCAGCTCCAAGACGAAAGCCTCAAGCGATGTTCTCACACTGCCTGCAGGTGGACGCTACAGGGAGAGGGCCATTCAGGGCGATTGGGCCCCTAGGGCATGTGCCTGTGCCCCTGTCTCGGGGTGACTGAGGGAGAGAGGCATGGGGGAGGGGAGGGGAGGGCTCAGGCTTCATGGCCTCCAGAGCCAGACCGGCTTCCTGCAAGGGCAGCCTCCGGCCAGGAGGGGGCGTCAGAGGCTACACACCTGGGCGGCCCTCCAGGTCGGCCCCATGCTTGCACTCAGCTTGTGGGGAGGACTGCAGTTTTCCTGTCCCAAAGGCTCAGCACGTGAGCCTCTCAGCTGGGTTTTAACCCCCAAGAGGGACCACAGGGGTCGTGCATCCCTTCAGCTGGGAAGCTAGATGGGCGAGGCCCAGACGTCCTGGCTGGAGAATGACGCCGGAGGCAAGGTTGTCCATGCAGTCCCGGCCACAAAGGGAAGCTTGCGTTGCGAGGTGATCTCAGAGATGCCATCTGGGATGAGCTCTGACTCTGGAGAGGCTGGTGCCCTCTGCTGCTTGGCAGGGGATTCTGGCTCTTCTGGCCCCGCCGGAGACATCAGAGTCCGCTGCTGCAAAGCAGAGAGCCAATTCCTCCTGCAGGTCCCCGGGGCGTGGAGCAGCTAGTGAGAGTCCCTGTGGAAAGGGCTGCCTTCCTGCAGTTTGGAAGGGCTGCCTGAGGGACCCGTTTCTGGAAGGGTCTGGTTGTTGCTTTGAAAGAAGTGTTTTCCTTTGAATTACAGAAGCTGGATATTCTGCTAATGCATTTTTTAGAAAAGAGCGGGAAGGGCTCAGGTGCATTTCTTGCTTTTTTTAAAAAATTAGTTATGTCTTCAGTGTGTTTTTGAAAATAATAAAATGATTTATTTCTCACTTGCTTCAGATGCAAGAGATTTTATTACTTCTCAGGCTCCGTTGGGAATAAAGTGGCCTTGGCAAATGCAAAGATCGGAACACTAATGAGGTTTTCTGAAGTTTACTTGCTACATGAAAAATGACAGGAAATTAGCCCAAGAGTCAACGGTAGGTGTACGTCTGAGGTCCCTCTCCCTGGCGCTCTGGAAGGTCGGCTGCACTTTGTCTCGTGCAGAAGGGCCCAGGGCCCCACTGTGGAGGTAGCCTGAGGCAAGGATTTGCTGGAATCTGTTGGGGACCCCCTCCTGTAATTGGGGGTCATCCTGACATAGCTCCTCAGATGGAGTTGGGAAGTAGGGTCCAGATGCTTTGAGAAGAGCGCAGTCCACTGGGGCCCAGTGTCTGCCCAGATGGGGTGCCTATGTCCACTTGCCTGGGCATGGGGGACAGTACATCGGCAGGGAAGTGAACTCGGCCACACTGGGGTCCCCAGAGTGTGTTGGGGTCAGCATGAGCAGACAAGACATTGTAACAAACTGCTGTGTCATCATTAAAAATGCATTTGCAGTGGCTTAACAGCTGCGCAAGAGATAAATATCCTCTCTGGCTCTTAAACCTTAATTAAACGTTTTAGTATTAATTGCTATTTATTTAAGGGACAATAAGCACCCTAGTAAATCTGAACCATCTTCCTGGCTATTCTCTGCTCGATGCTCATGTCCAGGCATTAATTGCAAGAATCGGAGACTCAGAATCCGAATGCTGTCCTCTCAGCGGGTGATGAATGGTCCGTCCGACACACAGCAACAGGATCTTCAAACATTTATCAGGCCTAACAAGGCTGTTTGCACAGCCCTCCTGGTCCATGTATCTGCAGCGAGCTGATGCTTTGTGTCCACGGGCAAGAGGCGGAGCGGCCAGGCTCAGACTCAGTCCTGTGGGTGGTCCTTGAGGCCCCACATGGCCACCTGAGGCCCACATCACATGAGTCAAGCTCTTCAGAGACAAAGACGTGCCCTCCTGTACATGGGGGTCATCCTGACATAGCTCCTCGGATAGAGTTGGGAAGTAGGATCTGGACATTTTGAGAAGAGCGCAGTCCACTGGGGCCCATCTGGAGGCACCCGGCTGGGGTGCCCTCACTTGGGATGGCACATGGGGAGAGCCCGCCAACACCGTTTGTTGGCAGGATTGCTGGGCTAATGAAGCCAGGAAGGTTCTCTGGGGCAGAGGAGGAAGTAAAATCACTTTTTTTGATACTGAAAAAAGTCAGCGCTGCACCTCTCCATCTCGATGTGGATGAGGAGGCTTTTGGAAAGGGGACTTCATCTACCCCCACCCAACTCTTCCCACTCAGGGCTGGGCCGAGGGTTCAACAGGGAACAGCAGCTGGGGGCTGAGGCTCTCTGATGGCAGGCAGAGCCAGGCAGCCCTGCACTTACACCCTGACTGACCCCAGGCACGTCACTTCACCTCCCATGCCTCATTTTTCCCCCTCTGTAAGTTGGGGCTGCTGGGAGGACTGTGTGAGTTCCTAGACCTCCAGAATGCTCCAATGAGCTGCCATCTGAACATCTACGTTAGGGAGCTGCCCAGACTGGTGGGGGCTTCCTGGATTACAACGCGTGTCTGCCTCAAGTCTGGGAGCCCAGAGCTCTTGTACGAAGAGAGAGGAGGTCTTTGATGTCAGGGCCAGCATCTCCCAGGTCAGTCTTATTCTTTTATGCATTTTAAAAATCCTAACCGAGATGCTGGCAACCACCCGGCCTGGCCAAGCAGGTGGGAACCCGGCTGCTAATAAGCAGGCCCCCCGTTGCTAACCGGGTTGGAACTCCAGAGGCAGTTCCAGCTGCGGCCTTAATGAGATGAGTCACACTGAGGCAGACAGACCAAGTTCCTGATGGACGGGTCATGCCGGCGCATGTGGCCCCCAGGTGGCTGGGGACAGACTGCGTCGCACCTACACACACAGTGTCAGCAAAGGCCTTTTGCGGGTGGGGTACAGGGGGCTTACTTTCCATCCTAATCTAATCACATTTCTTTGCCCGCTGGCTGAACGTCATGCTAAGCAGGTCGTTTTGGCTTTGGGACAAGAAGTGAGGGCTGGAGACTTGGTTTGGAGTAAACACGTGATTCATTAGGCCTGGAATCAGGGATTGACGACTCATTAGTACCTCTGAGAGCATCTGGCTCCTCCTGCCAGGAGACCCTGCGAGCCAAGCCCTCAGAGGCTTATGCTAGTGCCCCCAGGGAACACCCTCCCTGCCTGGAGCGGGGGCCCTCATCCACTCTGACAAAGGTGTTCTCCACTTGATCCCCCTACCAGAAGGTGAGAGAAAATAAGAGAAGACTCAAATGTAAGTAGAACCAGCCTGGGTTCTCTACTTATGGAAGAGACCCACCATCATGTTTAGGAGGAATATTTGGGGGAAAATATTCTGTCTGCGGATGAGCAAAATGTGGGTCCCTAGAAAACCTAGCATTAAAAAGAAAAACAGAAACAAAACAACCCCCAACCCCTTGGGGGCCTCTGCCAACTGTGCACAGAGAATATGTGCAGTCATGGGGGTGAAATGCTCTTCCCCGTGCCTGCAGCCGGAGTGTTCAGGAGATTCATGCAGGAAAACAATTTAACATTAGCATTCAAGTTAATATCACTGAAAGGAGACGGAATGTTCCCATTCAGCAGAGCGTGGAACATTCCTGTTGGGCGCTGCTCCCTGGCTTCAGATGAGTCGATGTCTCTACTTCCTGCTGCCTGTCACATTTTCCTTATCTCTTCTTTTTACATTTCAGAATCATGTTAATTCTGCCCCACACCCTCCCCATGTAGAGACAAGCAATGGAGGCGGGAAGCATGCCCACTTGGCCGCCACCCTCACCTCTCCCTGTGCAGGGCAATGGGAGCTATGAATGCCGCTCCTTCCAAGAACGGATTTCCCTGCGGTGCAGGGTGCACGCAGGGAGGCCTTCCTCTGGGACGGAAGGGTCCTGCGGAGACCGCACGATGCTGCATGTCCGACAGGCTCTGCCCCTGGGATGCCTCTACCCGCTGCCACAGAGCAGCCCCAAGCCCAGCTCACCCCATGCATTCAGGATGGGGACGCCACTGGAATTCCACCTGCCGTGCCCAGAAGGGCCCCCAGGGATCCTGGGGAGGAGATGGGTGGGGAAGGTGAGGTCAAAGGGAAAATCGATGTCCAAAAATGAGGTACGTACCATAAGATGGACACACGGCGTCTGCCCTGCCCCCAGGAGGTAAAAAAGACTTCGGCCAGTCAGCAGGATATTTCAAACCATTTTTCAGACACAAAGGCCACAGGAATAAGATGCCGATCAGAAGAAGAGGGTCTGCAGCAAGCAGAGAAATGGGCTCGCATGTGCTCGTACAGAGTACCCAACGGCAGGCTGGCTCGGGCCTGCGGCAGGAAACTGGTTTCTTGAGTTGGAAAGAACCCAGGAAGGTCATGCTCAGCTTGGCCCCACTGGCCTTCAGCAGGAAGGGTCCCTCCTCCTCCCTGTGGTGGGCTGACGCGCCCTTCCGCCCTGGAAGGCCTCGGAGGACCCACAGCCTCAGGGATCCGTGCACAGAAGGAACCCGGCCTGGAAGCCGGAAGGCGGGCTTCCATTTCAGACTGAAGTCTTTGGATTTTCCAGACAAGCACAAAGCTCAGGTGTCTGCCTCCAAGGGCAGAGATCCCACACATTCGTGCACATTATTGAGGAGGCAGAGCCCAAGTTGTGAGACGGAGCCCCTGCATTCTGCCACCTCTGAGACTAGGCTACCATTTCCCAGGCCAGGGAGAGCCACAGAGCATTACCTTGGGCCAAAAAGCAAGCACCCGGCCCATCCAGTCCCTCCGAGCCAGGGTGTAAGAATGGCAGCCATGCCCACCCCTGCACGGCCAGGGTGGACACAGGGGCAGACAGGGTGACAAAGCGGAACAATAGTGACCAGCTGAGAGCCCGCCCTTCCCTTCCCCCAGGCCTGGGGCACTGGTCGGCCGGGATTCCCACCCAAACCAACACACACACATTCAGTGAAAGGGTTTGAAAATCCTTTTGCCAAATCTTGTGAACTCAGCCTTCTAGAAGGCTGGGGTGCAACCAATGAGCACCCCAATTGCCATTGAGAGAAAGCAGAGTAGTTTGGGAGGACAATTCTAAGGTTCCTGCTTTCCATTCATCTCAGGAACATCACAGGGTCTAAAGCAGAGATAGGAGGAGTGGAAAAGGCATGTAGGGGTGACCCCTCGTCCTCATGGCCAGGACAGGGGCACATTGACTGTGAGCTCTCACCCCAGGTGCCCAGAGCTTGGTTCTGGGAGGATGCCTTTCAGGGCACTATGGGCAGTGCCACCGGGGGCCCTACTTATTTCCCCTCAGCATTGTTAAGCTGTTGGGGAATTTTGTTTTTCAATTTACAAAATGATGGATGAGTGCATGCTCACTTAAAAAAAAAAAAAAGCTTATTGACGTTTTAATTTAAATCAGATAAACCAGAAGCTGGCTCAAGGGTTCCTTCAGTATTCCCAGGGGTGGTTTTAGGGTCATGTGTTCTTTAAGGAATTACACAAGGTTAATAAAAAGGAGCATCTCATAACCAAGAGTCTGGTTGGGGCTGTTACTCTTGCTAGATTTGCTGCTGGCATCGGATGGATGGGGGCTCAGGGATCCGGGCTGGGGGCCCGCCCGTGATTTGTAGGTATTTGGGAGACAGGGTCTGCCCCAGCCTGAGCTTACCGGTTCCCGTTAAATGTGGGTTTGTACTGCCCCGCTGGGTGCAGCGTCTCGTCCGTGTACACGGGCACGGATGCCCGCACGCACTCGTGGGAGCACTGCAGGGTCTCGTTGTAGGCCGTGAATATGTCCAGGCTGCTGGGCACCCGGGCGGGGGTGAAGTCCGTCAGGTTCTGGCAGCTTTCCTCCTGCTGGGCCATCTTCCGCGGGTGGCTGTTCCTGCGCGTGCTCCCGCTTTGGGTGCAGCTGGAAGACAAAGAGGGCAGGGTGGGGGTGGGGGCCAGCAGATGCACCCCAACATCTTCAGGGCTGAAACTGTGGCACCTTTGTCTCCGGGCATCAGCTACACATCATTTACTATTAAGTGGTGATTCCAGACTCTTCAGAAAGATCAGCACGATCAGCTTTTCATTGTTTGGGCAAAATTTGAATTTTAAAAGTGGCCATTATTGCAGGGAGGATTTTGAGGTAAGTGGCTGAGCTGCGTTATCCCAGAGCCAGGCCTTGTCTGGCCACAGAAGGCCAGCTGGACCGCGGAGCTGACCCAGTTTCCCCACAGACTCAGTGGTACTCATGGGAACGCCTTTGTGCCCAGGTTGGTGTGGTCCGATGGCTCATCCTGGAAGGGGCTACATAACTCCCCCGCCATGTCCTCTGTGCCCCCTCTGCCCACGCTCACAAGCTGGAAATGACCCTGGGCCATCCGTCCTTCACCCCCCACCGGGTCTGTGCTGAGCACTGGCCTGAATGCCCGTGGACACCTGCCTGAATGTCCCATTCCTCTGGACCACGGAGGCTTCCAGATGCCGCCTGGGGAGGGATGGGGATCCCACCCTTCTTGGCCAAGGGGTTTGAAGAAGACAGTGATCTCCCCAGACCCCCAGATATGCCCTCTGCCAAGTTCCCAAGAAGGATGGGTGGAAGCCCCAGCCCCACGGAGGAGGGCAGCTAGGAGAAATCTGGGGAGCCCCTAGTTTGGGGAACCCCCAGTCTGGGGAACCTCATTCCCTTTCCCTCTCTCTCCCTTCTGAGCTCACAGCCAGTGTGGAATGCAGGGCTGTGGGTGGCCAGGGTTCATTAGTCCTGCCCCCAGAAGTCCTGGATATGCCCTGGCTTGTCGCCCAGGGAGAGGAACCCTGATCCCACCCCATAAACAAAGGTGGGAAGATGAATGCAAAAGCGGGGATCCCCACAAAGCCTTAGAACCACTCATCACCTCCTGGGGAGTCCAGAAGGTGGTCCTCCGCAGAAGGACTCTCTGGGTGTGGTGGGGGGTGGCTGCAAACTCAGATGTGAGGGGAACCCTGGAGAAGGCCTGCCACCTATCACCCCGAGGGTCACAGAGTCCACTGTCCCCACTGGGGTGGGGCTCTTCCTTCATCCAGGTGGTCAGTGGGATTCCTGCTGCTGTACAGTCATGGGGCTCAGCCCTCTGAGCCCCTTCTCCGGCCAGCAGCCCCTGCTTAGCTGGGAGCTGAGTGTCGTCCTTCTCATCTGCCCGGAAGATGCCCAGGTCCCGGGTTCGCTGGGCTTCGGCAGACCTCGCTGGCAGGAGGTGTGTTCTGCAGTCCTGCCGCTCCCCACCCTCCCACCTTTTCTCAAATCTCCATTGTCTGGAGGCTGGGGTGGGGGGCTCCCGGCCATCAGCCCCCCCTGTTCCCTATCACTAGCCACAGGCAGGGGGCATTTGGGTATATTACTACTCTAGCAGGGAAGCGGAGCTTTGATGCCACGTGGAGATACATCTGCTGGAGGAGCGGCTGCAGGCAGACGGGCCTCCGCGGGGCTCAAGCAGCAGGGTCACCCAGCAGCTCCCTGATTTTCCCAGGGGTGTAGCAGGTGTGCATACCCAGCAAGGCCAACCTCAAAGTAGGCCAATTTCCAGGAGGAAATAGGCAAAGACAGGCTGCCTGGAGCAAAGCAGTAACCTAGTTCAACAGACACAGAATTGCTACAGAGGAAGGAAGCATACGGAGGCCGGCTGAGCACCGGCTGCCCGCCTGCCCGGGACAGCCAGGGACAGCCAGGGGCAGCCCGGCAGGTGTGGGTCCCAGGAGCTGGGAGGAAATAAACAACAAGGCTTGCGTGCTTGGCAGGCAACATCCGAAGGAATGAGAGGCTCTGACACAGACACCTGCTGCCCGAGAAGCCATGTCCTGGAGGAGGGGCCCACTGGTGCCCTGCAGAGAAAGCAGGGGGAGGGGCTGCACCCCAGGGCAAAGGCGAGCCAGTCGTGGCAAGAGATGGGGCTGCACCAAATCTCGGGTCCCAAAGGGAAGACCGTTCCCTGGGCTGAGGACCCACGGCTGGGCTTGAACACCCAGGACCTTTCTATGTGCACTTCCCCAGGGCACCCCACAGACCCCCATTACCAGGCCAGAGGGTCCGAGGATCCTTACCAGTTTTTTAAGACAAGAGTTGTAATCAGAGCGGCTATGACCATGATGAGGGAGACGGTGATGGTGATGATCTGATGGACAGCCAGGCCTGGAAGAGAGAAGGGCGAGCCTTGAATCCAGGAGCCCAGGGCGGGCGGGGACGTGCTCCTGTCGACTGGCTGCCTAGTCAGGCCTGTCTGTGCAGCAGCCTGCACGCGCCCGGCAAGGGGCTGCCCTGGGCAGCTGCCTGGGACAGGCACTCGGGCCTCCCCTCCCCACATCAGGTGCTGTGGACTCCAGGGCCGCTCTTGCCGGGAGCCCCCCAAGCCACAGCCTCACCCATTCCCTGGGTTGGGCCACCGTGGCTGTGGCCTTTCCTGACCTGCAGAGCCCCTCACCTGGTACAGGTAAGCTCTGGCTGAAGCACTCCCCAGGACCTGTCGCCCCTCCTCTCTTCTCGCCCTGGGCACATTCCGCTCAGTGATTCTGAGCCCCCAGGGCAGCTGGCCTACAAGTGGGAGCAGGGCTTGACTCCAGAGAAGCCAGGATGGCCCAGGATGCATTGGGAAGCTGGAAAGGAGGCCGTGGGTGACACCCTTGCAGACTTGGGGGCACCTGGATCATTGGGGAATGTCATCCTCTTTCCAGCATTCTAAGAAGCCCGTCCCCCACTGGGGTTCCAAGGAACAAAAGGTCCAGGCCCAGTGTCTGTGCTTCCCCAGGTCCCGGGGGGCCACAGCCGGCCTCACTGCTTGGGCTGTGCTCTGTGTGCAAGCGCGCGGTGGGCAGGGAGCAGAGACAGCAGGCCTGGGGCAGGAGGACCGCCGCCCCAGAAGCAGGGCGCCCTGACGCCACTGAGAGCTGTGTGCCAACCCCCCACAGATAGCAAAGGATGAGATTCTCTCCCTCTGTCCCCCAGGCCCCGCTGCACCATCTTCCGCCATCCACAGACTCAGGAGAGGGAGGCAAGCAGGCTGGCAGCAATCCCCACCTGCAGCCCCCACACTGTTCCTCCCGACAGCGCATCTGCTCCATCCTTCCTGGACCGCAGACTAGGGGGCTCCCCTGGCTGACTCCCCAGGACAGTGAGGTCCACCAGAAGGTCCAGAGCTCTGGCCCTCCCCCTGCTGTCAGAAGAACCTGCCTGAGGAGCTGAGCCACAGAGGCCCCCAGGGGCTCTGCAGAGAAGCCTGCAGGGCCAGCATGGTGCCCGGTGGAGGTGCTGGTCGCCTGAGTTCGCCCACCCCAGATGGCTGGGCACCCCTCTCTCTCCACTCTGACGCCCAATCCTGACACCCTTTTGCAGAGGCTACCCATCACCAACAACGTGTGTACGTGTTCCAGCCTGGAGGATTTCAGAGTGTACGATTTTTCTGGCAGCCTCCCAGGGACACAGTCTCCCAAACAGATGTTATCTCTCTGCTGAATACAATCCTTGTGAGGGGATTGCTAATAAATGACCCAAAGTCGGGTGGCCAGGGAAGAGGCTGCTCCTTCCGGTGTGCCCCTTCTCCGGGCTGTTTCTGTTTGTCGGGAGGGGTTCCCGCCATGAGCCCACAGGATAAGCTCCACTAGAAAACTGCAGAAAATGCCTGAATGCTGCGGACTTCCTGAATTGGATATCCTTTTGCCCACTGGTTCAGCAGGAAACACTTACTGAGCACCTACTGCCCGCCAGGCAGTGACAGCTCTGGCCAACTCAGCATGGTGCCCACCCTCGGGAAAGGGCTGCTGTGGCACCAATTCTTTAAAGTGATGTCACTCCTGCTGGCCACGGCTTCCCATACACCTGTGCCCAATTTGTGGCACCTGCTATAAACCTCTGGGCTAGTTTTCCTTCTTCTCTAAGGCTCCATGTCAGCTTGCCAGTGGACCACAGGGACCACCCTCAGTCTCACTAACAGTGGAGTGCCCCCCAGCATCAGGAACCCCAAGGTCCATCTTAGACTTAGTTGGCAGGAGAAGGGTTGGAAAGGACGTCCTATATAAGGGACAACAAGGGACCGTGGTCTCCTCCCAGTCCATTGACACACTCCCTCTGACGGTCAAGAGACAGCATCCTGCCACAACGCCTATGTGCTCCTCCTGTGTCTGTGCTTCCTGTGATGGAGAGGAGGCCAGTGATGGCGGCGGTGGTGGTGTTCACGACCTCAGCCATGCTTAATGAGCGGCAGCAATCGTCAGGTATGCACTACTCCATTTATTTCTGGCAACAACTCTCAAAGATAGATACTGTCGTCATCAGTTACGGAAGTGAAAACTATGTGGCCAAGTTTGTGTAAATTGCTTGGGTCACATAAGAGCTTCTGGCTCCAAAGCCCATCCGATCAGCAGTAGTATTGGATGGTTCTGAGCTCACTTTTGTTAATCTCGGGTTTCACTCTGACCTTCATTCATCTCACTTTGGAGCACCCTTCCTCTGAAGCAGGGGCTGGCACCTCTCCCCGCTATGTTCCTGGGTGGGGGAACAAACTTCCAAATTGGGGAGGCAGGTGCTTGAGCCTCACGCCTTCCTCCTCAGGAGGATGACTCCTTGGGGGGTGCTCCAGACCCAGACCCACAGCTTCTCAGCCGCGTGCTAGCAGGTCACACTCCAATCCCCAAGGCAAGAACTCAGTCTTTGTTTCTTGGGCCAAACATGACATCTTCCAGGTCAGGAGAATTCAACGCCTACGGAGCTAGGTGACATCAAAGAGCACCCTGAGTGGGAGGGGGCCGCCGGAATGGTGGGGACAGGTGCAACTACGTGGCCAGGCCCAGCCAGAGGCACCGAGCAGGGCACTGGGCTGGACACCCTGCAGCAGCTGCAGGGCCAGAGGAGGCCCTGGGCGCTGCCAGATTCTGACCCCTCATCCTGTTACCGCGGGAATGCTGCTGGGCGGAGTATCTGCAGGGCCAGAGTCCTTGCAGGGAAGGGTTCCGTGACCAGCTGTGCCGCAGATGCTCAGGTCCTCCCCACCTCCCCAGGGGATAAGGACGGGGAAGCTCTCATTTTCCTCTTCTAATGGATGGAACAAGCTGAGACCCAGCGGGGAAAATGGTCAGCACAGGGACCCCCTCGCTGACAATTCTCAGGACAGAACAACCCAGTCAGCACACCGAACCACTTTGGCCAGCCCTTGCCTGAGGTCTTCATGAGTCTCTGAGCCCCTTCAGAAGAGGGGTTCATCAACCTGATGCCCACTCCTAGCCCCCCCACACAAACTGCCTGATGCAGTACCTTTCAGCAGTGGCTATGTGATATATATAATTACGCCCATAACTGAAAAGTAGAAACTAAAAAGCCAGTGGAACAGGGAGAAAGATAATGACAAATTCTAATGTCTGCCTTGTTCTGGAGGCCCTTCCACTGCCTTATGTGTGAAATTTCTAGGACTTGCCAAATTAAAACTTGCAGGAAATGGTACATGTGTTAATAACCAGTTATGATCATCTGGGCAGAAATACAACAATAATATAATGGTTATGCTTTCAGGAAAGACATTTCTATGCCAGGCCCCTTGCTAAGTGATCACACGTATGATGAGTTTAACCTGCCAGGCATCCTCCTTTTTTTCCCCTGCTGACTGGTGAGGAGGCTGAAGCTCAGAAGCAAAGAAGTGAAATGCCTTCCCCCTGGTCATTCGGCTGAGTCAGGGTGAAAGGCCATTCTTCGCTTTGGAGTCTCAGAGAACATCAAACACCTGTTTCCAAATGAGCACATCTGTAGCCACATCCTGGTAATAAAATTCATTAGGAGTAAACACCTGACTACCCCTCACGCACTTCACTTGGACAGCAGACGGCCTCGCGCTTCGATGCCTAGCCCGTGGGTTAACAAAGAAGAGGACCCGTGGGCCCCACGCTCATGACGGTTGAACACGGACCAGGCTTTCCAATATGTGGTAAGAATGATAAGCAGGTTAGGAAATGGAAAATCCATAAGGATGCCTTGTTACTGCTTGTCTTTGGGAGGTTGACTACTAAGAAGAGAACAGAACAGTATGTGAGAAGCTGTGCCATGCTTCAAGCATCTGCCCTGCCATTTAGTCCTCTGCAAATGCCAGGAGTCCTTCCCGCCTGTGTAAGTCCCTCCTGGGGATCCCCGTGCGGTTCCTGTCACAACAACAGACAGCAGGCAGATTTGGCTCATAGGTTACAGTTTACTGACCCCTGATTTAGGGGGAGGACTGAAAGTAGCCTGGCTTACAGAGAGTACGTATTTACTTTGAATGACTGGCTAAAGCAGCAGTCCTTTGGTTCTGACCCTTGGCCCTCCATCCTTAAAGATTTATTATCCTCGGAGATTTCCACTGGCCCCTGCCAAGGAGATTTCAAAGACACTCACAACTTCTATCTTACCGACTTGGGCCACAATGACCAGCAGTGGGCAGCCTCGCCCTGCTGGCACTGTCCGCCTGAGGCTGGCTGGAGAACAGGTCACTCTGTGCGATGATTCCCTTGAGAATTCAGACAGCATTCCTGACTTTTGGAAACCAAAACTCAGGAAGAATTTTAGCAACTTAATCCCTCCAATGTCACTCAGAAATATTCCAGGCACAAGTCTCTCAACTTTCTCCATTAAAGGTGAAAAGAAGGCACATCTTGCAAAAGACCAGGAAGTTCAGGTCACAGAGTCGTCGAGCAGGAGACCCCCTATGGCTCCATGAACAGGGCTCTCCCTGCCCCGTGCGCACAGCACACGTCTCAGGAAGCCGTGCCCCCAGCTCCTCTCCTTCTGCACTTAATTCTTCTCAGCGCTCACACTTAATGTTCCCTCTGCTCAGGTGTGTGGTGGCCATTAAATAATGCCGGCAGGAACATCTGTACCATAAACCCTACTGACCCCGGGCGAGCAATCCTTGCACAACGTCTACACCAGCTGTCGGGGCTGTGACTGGGCTGACGATAACATCACCTGGAGGGAATGTACACGCTATACCCCAAGAAAGGGGGAAAAACATCTAAACTTTCTCCTCTCCTCTTCCAAGGTCAATACTGAATCCATCTTCAAACTCTTTGCAATTCAGACGCGGTCCCAGGGCGCGAAGCGTGCTGCGTGCGGTTCCTGCTCCCGCCCCTCACAGGTGTTATTGTTCCTGTTAATTCAGGAGCTCTTTCTGAGCCTGG